ATATGATTCACTTTTTATTGCATACACTGACGGTTTCAATATTGATACTGGAATCCAAGTTAAGCCAACCCCAGAAACGGGAACTATTCATAATGCCGGCCAACCAAATTCTACTTTTCTCACAACAAGTGATGATTTGCCGCCACTCAAAATCTCAACTAGTCAAATTGACTACGAAGCTCATATAGGAACAAAATTGGACTATATTCTTTTTAATAGCTTCTACATGCTCAGAACGGCCGAGTTAGCCTTTCTGCAAAATCAATGTGAGCTAGAACGCTCCTCAATATTAAATACTCTAATGCTTTCACTTGAAAGCCCACGTTTGGCTGGCTATATTTTAACTCAGAACCGCTCTATGTTCTTAGAGACCAATGGCAATGTTGCCTGGCTCTACCATTGTCCGAAATTTTATTCACCTTTGCAATTAATGGATGAATGCTATAATCGCATTCCCATTATGTATAAGGAAAATATTCGATTTGTCGATCCAATTACGCGACAAACTTTTCAGTCGGCAGATCTACAAGACTGCTCAGACAAACATTCAAATCTCTTTCAACTAGATGTTGATGACGATCAGTCCTGGATTGAATTAACCCCTCAAATTACAAGGGTTACAGGACCATATCTCTTTAAACCAAAAGAGATAGTTCAACAGATTAAGCATTCTTTAGCCTCTAGCCAAGGCGCTTCAATCTACACTTATGCTCAAATGCAAAAATTCTGGAACATGATTTCCGATAATTCAGAGATGAAAGGAATACTGCAAGAAGTATCCAGGATCTTACTAAACGCTCAAAAATTTCTTTTCACGGACTCATATAGCCCACTAGGCTCTTCCCAAACAATATATTTGGACTATCTCATCTCTCCAAACTTTTGGAAAAACGAATACACCCGTATTCTCGGGAAAGTACAATACTGTTTAGAAAAATGCGGAATAGTCTTCGCCTTTTTTCTATTTGTGAAATTCATAATAGATTGCCTAGTATTCATAAAAAAGGCTATGCATATTCACAAAATCACCGGCCGCTCACTACACTTTGGCAAAGTATTACTTGCCACCTCATATAATATACTTTTCACTTCCATAGTGACCTCAATTTTCACTCAAGATGAGCAAAGTGAAAAAATAGAACAAGAATGTGATCAGAAAATACAAGCCCCTCTTTTATAGGAAATTGATAAAATCAACCAGGATTGCATGTACCCTCAAATCCAATTAACAAGTTTTGAGAGAAGAACTCAAAAGTTGGATCACCCAACAAACCCAGTCTAATTAAAAATTTTTACTGTTCTAGGATATACCAACAGATTCAACTATGGACGCAACACTTGATGACGACTTGAGAGATTTTGAGGATCTTCTCTCACTACTGCCACCATCAGATCCACTGGACTCGCAGATTTCAGCACTCACTCAACAACCAACTGTTTCTACTACTACAACCCCCACTGCAACGCCGACCTCAACGCGATCCTTCGTTGAGCCACAACTTCAAACCAATTCAGCTGTCCCAATAACTACACCATCAAAGCCACCACCCCTAAAAGCTTCATCCCCTGATTTCAAAATACCCCTGGTTCCCTCGAATTCTCGAATTAAAAAGCGAACCTAGATTGTAAGACCATATAAGATACTAACGGCAAATACGCCGGTATCAACTTCTCAATATCCAATGACCATTAGGCGACAGCCCTTACACCTCATTGAATTAAATACTAAGTTACAAATTCAGTTAGAAAGGGAACGATACATTAATTCTAACAGTAATCCCGGCTTCGATATGGATCTCAATTATGCTTTGAATCCATTAATCAACCGTTTTAAATTAGAAGCCTATCGCCCCATAAAAAAATGTACTCCATAACTAATTCCCTTCTTGAATATCAAAAAATCTATGTCCCAGCAAAATATCTGACGCTCATAAGATGCTCAAAATTCCAGATTGGATTATTCCCCAACAGTTGGAAAACCAGGAAAACCGAAATTGTTTGCTTCGGCTCAATTAGAAAACTTTCAGTTCAGTTTTTGAAACAAATTCAGCAACTCAAGATATAAAAAAAGTGATAAAAAATTTGTACAATCGCGGCAAAACTCGCATATTACAAAGCTGGGATGGCGCATGAAACTCAATTGCTTTTAAAAGTGGCAAAACATTTCAGCTTAGGTTCGGCTTGATCACCGTACAGTAAGTACAGTTATTTGGTTCGGTTCGGTCCAAGGGATGTTCACTCTCGTTTTTTGCATAACAACAATATTACGATTGCTTTTGCCCTTGAAACTGTGCGACCGGCCGATGTCACCTGTCTGCGAGGAAAAAAGGAAAAAGGCAAAGGTTTTTGGGACAGTTGAAAATATGGAAAAGTAGAGTGGGGTGCAAGTGAGCAGGTTGGGCATAAAGGTTGAAAAAGAGCTGCTTTGCGGGAAAGGTAAGCGTTTAAAAGCTGGGTAGAGCAGGACCAGATTTGGGAGAGCTCACAGTGGGTAGTTCTGGAGAGGGGTTGTTCTAAAGGGTCATTTTTGGGTGGATGGAAACACACTATCTTAGAGGGAGTGGCTTCGGAAAAAAAAGACAATTTGTATTGTATGGTTACGTTGTAAAATAGGTTCAGAAACTTTTAGTTAGAGAAGGAGTCTGTATTTAGGTTTTCAAAACCTAATGATGGATTTTCGTTGAACGAGTGGTTGGATAACGATCCGTTGTTTTTTCTTTGAAGCGATTCAAAACGGATGGTCTTACTTGGCGAGGGGGAAAGGAGTTGAGAGGAGAAAAAACTGTAGGAATGATGAGAACTGTAAACAAAGACAAAAGGTGAGAAGTCATGACACTGTGTTGGTTTTTAACATTTGTTATCCCAACTTCATTATGCACTTTTTTGCACTATCAAGATACTTTAACCAGTACTGACACAAAGAACTTGAGTTTGAGTAACCTTTATTGAGTTTTCACTCGAGGCGTGTAACCAGGTAGTATTCTGATTTCAAATAGAAACATGAATTATTTTATTGAGCTCACAAAGTATGACGCCGCCGCCACCACAAAAAAATATGTTTTTATTCCCTTGCAAAAGGAAGGGAAATGCTATTGGAATAATTCCTATAACGTTTTAAGCATTGAGAATTGAAACGAATTCGAATGCGAATAATAACGCTTCCTCTCGTAAAATACGAGCATACGAAACACTCTTCTCGTAAAGTACGAATAGACAATACGAAGTTAAGACGTAACTTCTCATTTGATGTGAAAAGTGGTACGATTTCCCATCTGAGTATAAATAGAAGCTCAAAACTACGGGAATTCATTCCCAACAATTTCTCTTCTAACATCAACACCACTCTCTTCAACCACCCCAACCATTCTCTATAAAATATCTCCAATCTCACCCTTAAAATAAATATTGAGTTAAAAGGCAACTTGCTGTAAATTCATACTAACTTCATTTCTAATAAAATATTTCTCAGCGAATTTTAGATTTACTTTCTAAGATAGAAAGTAGAAAGGACTCTTTATTCCTAGCAAGCGTTTTGTCCGATTTATATAGTTTTGCTAGCTCAGAATAGTAGGGTAAGCATACTCGAGTATGAGTCTAATAAGGGCTTTGATAGGTATAAAAAAATGTATTTTTGGATTAAATGGGGTCCTTCTTATCACGTGCCTGGCTTCATCAGCGAATTTTTGGGCAGTTTTCAGAATAAACACCAAAAATTTCAGGATTGTACTTAGCGGCAGAAGCTCATTGTTTACAAACACACTAGGTGCTCAAAAAATTACAAACCCTTCAGAGGATGTATAAATTACCTTAGGAGAAATTAAAAAAGTCGTAAAGAAGCTTCAGGTAGCCATTTAAACCTTGGGCGTTAAGAGGCAGGATGGAAGTCGTCCGCATATTACGTGAAAAGAACTTTCTCTAGCGAGGGAGGGGAATCTTAGACGTAAAAACTAAAATGGGTGGGTGATAACATCGATCCCTGAGGAACTCCACAGTGGACTATTCTATGGGAAGATGACTGTTCACGAAAAAAAAAAACGTGGAGGCTGGACGCTCATTTTCAAATAGTTACTGAGCCAGAGGTCTAAGATATGCCTCTTGGGAATAGCGGTTCATGACCTAACTTGTCAAATATTTGGCAAGAAAAAAGCGTGAGGAGAATACTGATTGCAACCGTCTGTGACGTAAAAAATGAGGGATACAAGTGATCGATTGAAATGGGCGATAACCATGCCGATGCTTGGCATTTGGGAGACGTTTAGTAAAAAGTTATTGGATGAGCCTCTGTAATTTTTTCAAGGCATGGAAAAAACGTGATATGGGCCTGCATGATATTGACAGCTCTAAATCTCTATCTGCTTTAGTCAGAAGTATAATTTTCTGAAAAAATAATCTCTCGAATGTGGAAAAACACAAAAATCATACTTATGAATAGATCAGATAGAGATTTAGAGTTGTCAAAATCATACAGGTTCATATCACTTCTTTGTTCAGCCGTTAAACTTTTAGCGATGCTCATCAGTTAAAAAGATATCATACAGGCCTGTATCACTTCTTTTTTCAGCCATTAAAATTTTAGAGAGGCTCAGCAGTGAAAACATCAGCCGCAACCATTTGATCGAAATGAATTACAAAAGAAATTACCAACTGGGACTTTCAATATCCGAGCCGGTAGTTTTACAAATAACAGAACAACTGTCAGTTATAGTAAAAAAAATTGTCAAGTCTGTAGAAATCTCGATATTATTGAAAGTAAGTGGACAGAAAAAGACCAGACAAACAAAAATCCGACAATTCAATTTTTCCCGGATCTAGAGCAAGGGACAAAGATCACCGAAGTTGTTTAGGTTCAATGAAAAGGCTGTTTCATTTTCTTACAGATTTGTAAGAAAAGTTGTTGACGGGAAAAATCTAGCAACTGATTACATGTCACTTGCCCTCGCAAATGATATCAATTGCAAACTAGAAAAGTTCACAAGCTTACATGCAATTCACATGCTTACCCTATGTTTGCTATGAGAACATCATCGTAAATTCCATCCGAACTTGTTTCCTGTCGTTTCAGATCTGTAAAAATACACGTGTTTAAACTAGTCTCCGAGTTCGCAAGTTGCTCTAATAAGTGTTAAGACACTTCTGCGTCAGAACAATTTTTTTTGCAAACGCACTTTCACCCCACAAACTATTATGGATGATTTTCTTGGTCAGAAAAAGTCTCTCACCTTTCTTTTTACAATGAACCAATTCCGCATTTAAGTTTTCAGGCAACTGTGATTCCGGTAAAACCAAGTTGCTTCGAGGAGGCGAGTCGTCTAATAATTGCTGGTCGGACAATTGCGTACTTTCAGCAACACCTGGAGCCATTAGACACCTTGAAGAAGTATTTTTCTGTGCAGAGCAAGTCAACATATGATAACCGGAAGTTGTGAGGGAACTTTCAATTGAGCTCCCCTGGCGCAATAAATGTCTGCTCAAGTCGGAAGCCAAAGAATCCAGAGATAGCTTTTGGATCAAAACGTTTGTATCTTCTGAGACAGCCGAAAGACTTACTACATTACGAGAGTTCGCACACGATTCTTCATAGATGTGTAAATTTGAAGTAGAAATAGATTGCGAGATGTTTTCAGCAGCAATAGCTGTGTTTAGACACTCGTTTTCAGGATCCCCCGCGGCAACTTCAGCAAGGATATTTACTCCCAAAGCTGAACCTTGTATAAATTTTTCTTCTGGGGTTGTTTTAATGGAATCCAAAACTGAAGAAGAAAAACATGATTCCTGACTGCCACTGGAAGTTTCAGTGCCTGAAATTGCTAAAAAAACAGGCATATTTTCAAACTTCAGGGTGAAAAATTAAGATACAAAAAATTAAACCAAATATTCTTTGATATTTACAAATAAAATCGAAACAGCAAAATTTAAAAAAAATCATATAATCGTCCGATATTTCCAAAAAAAAATTCTTGATTTCCGAATTTAGCTCTGATTAGTTCTTCGCTCATTCTGATTAATAGATCTGATTTACAACTTGTTGATTGCATTACATTTACTTACTTATTCGATAATACCTTTTTTGCCAAATTGTGATCAATTAACTTTTTGATCAATTATTACCATTTTGGGACATCAATTTTTTCCAGAATCCGTCGATCTCGTCAGAATCCATTTGCAACATCTTTCGCATATTTTCCTCTGAGAAATATTCCCCAAAAGAACTACAATCCAAAGTTTTCCATTCCTTTTTCACACGCGCCATTTTGCCTTCAAGGGACTGTAGAGCAATATGGTTGCGAGTTAACCTGTTCATGATTTCTCTGCACTCTTCAGAAACCCTAGTAATGTTTGAAAAAACTTGTATTTCGACTAAAGGCTTCAAACGAACCAGAAAATTTGCTCTTCAGTGTTTTATGGCAAACCACCGATCAATTTTTTATAAAGACTCTGTTAATCTTTATTACCTTGGGATCAAAAAAGTTTTCAAGCCAACAATCATGACATGACAATCGTGGGCAGTACAAGAAAATTGAGATATTGGTTCAGAAGAAACGCTTAGAATAACACTAGTTTTCAAAAAATCAACATTATAGGGCTGAAAATTAGGTTAATTGAGCAGCTCCTGGTCTTACTTCAGACTAAATCTGAAGGCGCTTTCGGCGAATAGATTATAACAAAATAATAACGTAATTAAAAAATTCAGCAGTTTTGAACAGATATTTGGCAAATCTGATTTAATAGATGTAGGATAAGGCAACTTTTCCAGCCGAAAACATCCAATAGTTGGATGCCGTTCATAAATACTGGACAACATTAGGTTCCCCAACGAATTTTAACTGCAGGGATAACGGGGGTTATATTAGCAAACATAGTCTTAGTTACACTTACCTTCGTAGTGGAGTATTCGGCAGCACCTCGATCATTCCAGAAATAATCTTCCGGAATGCTTCATTTGTGCTCTTTTCATAGCGGATAGCGTCCAAAATTTTGTCTATCAAAAAAGCATGGGCTTTACTAATTAGACTTTAAAGAAACACAAAAATAAATTCCAACTTTTTTGTCAAGCGAATATACGAAACCGAGATTTCTGACATCAACGAAAAGCAATTCTCGACAAATAAAAGATAAGCAAATCTTATACTAATAAAAGTTTTAATAAGCACAAAAATAGAGCCAAAATACAGTTGGAAAAAAGCCAATGAACGCAAGAAAACAGAAAAAAAACTGATTAGTTTTTTGAAAAAAACTTCAAAACTTCAATATTTTTGAATTTTAATAACACTTATGATTGCCACTAAAACACTAACCACACTAGTTAGGGCGCTTGAGGATCAATAGATGCTTTTAAATAGCTTAAGGTATTCAGTAAACATAGCCAACAGACAGTTAGAATAGAGTCAATCAACGCAAGTAAACAGCAAAGAAACACTGTCTTTCTTGAACTTTCCGGATTTCCGAGAAAAAAATAGATAATCTTAAAGTTCTTTGACTTTCTAGAACAATTCAAAATTGATAGTTTTTGATAAAAATTAACCTAATTTGAGAAAACTTGATCAATAAGTAAAATTTTTATTTCATTGGGAAATCTGATAAATTCCATTTTCGAAATTAGAAGTCAATCACGTTTTTTGTGACCTTTATATTTTCGCTGTTAGATAGTGGAGTTTGCCATCCTTTAAGCAAAAGAAATTAACTGAACTGAAACATAATCAAAGACAAACCGCTGAACATTAAAATTGAGCGCTAACAAATTTTAAAACTTTTCCTGAGAAAAAATCACGACCTTTAAAAACTCTTCAGTAGGTTAATAAACTTTGAGTAAATGAAAATCATTCTTTTTAGTGAATGCACGCATCTGGGCTTTCAACGACAAATATTTCTTGACAAGGATTGCAAATTAAATTTTTGATTGTCCATTTGCAGGCTGTGATAGCTATATACGGGATAACAAGTAAGGTATGGTATGAAAGAAAAATTCTTAGACATCTTTATTTTTTCAGCTTGACAAAATCTAAAATTATGTGTAACTAAAATTTTCAACAAACAAAGCCATTTTCCCCAATCAGTTATTTGCAAGTTAAAAAACTTATTTACGGAGTAAATGAGCTACCAGCCAAAACGAAAACATGCCAATAAATTGCTCTGGAAGATAGAACCCGGAAGTGCTGCGAATAACCCGAATAACATAACGTATCAAAAATTTGCAAATTCAAACATTAAGGCTGAATAATTAGTTACGTAGTTAATGAGCTACCAGCCAAAACGAAAACATGCCATTAAATTGCTCTGGAAGATAGAACCCGGAAGTGCTGCGAATAACATAACGTATCAAAAAATTTGCAAATTCAAACATTAAGGCTGAATAATTAGGTTTTATCAAAAAATTTCAAATTCAACTCAACATATTCAATTTTATTGGCAAAAAAAAGATGAAAAACCGTCAACTGATAAAAACTTCAATCAAAAATCTAAGTAACTTATATTAATTTCTTTTCCCATAAAGGCGTTTTAACTTTTGACGGCTTCTCACATACCCGCAGTTAACAGCGATGCAAATTGAATGCAGTATCAAAAATTAACTGAACTAATGGCAAACTCCGAGAAATATATAGCGTTGGAAAAACTATTATTCAACAAAATTGCATTTCTGAAACTTTGTTAGGCGACTCCACAGAACTGAGTTTTCAGATATGAACGACAAGTATTTCCTGACAGGATTGCAATTTAATTAAGTGGTTGCATTTGCGTGGGCTATCATTGACGTATACGTGATAGCATGATGTAAGATATTGTATAAAAAACGTTCTTAGGGATATTCATTTCCACAGCATAATTTCTAAAATTTTGTAAATGCAACTAAATTTCTCTGTTTCCAAAAACCGATTGAGGTCAAAGTTCTACCCAAATTGGTTGTTTAAGATTTCTACACAGAAGCGAAGCAGCGCTTCCCAAACACTTGCGATAACACGACCAGCTCTATCAAGACAAATACGAAAAAGTAGAAATAGGCCTCGAATTAGCAAAAACTCGTCTACCTGTGGGATTTGCATCTGCGACCTAGCAAATTTGAGTCTCACGCACTAATCTCTCATCCACTGATGCTTAAAATCCCCAAAAACTATTCACCAATAACGCAGTTACGTATGCTAATAAATTGCCAATTCGATGCAACAAAATTAGCACCAAATACCAAAAGACACAATTTTGCATTAAATAAATCGCTGAGCATAAAGCCACATTATGTATAAATTATGCATTTCAAAAAATTGCTAGATATATTGGGTTAGAAAAATTGTGAAATCCAGTTTTTATGATTGTTATGTTTTTTGATCAACTGTGTTAATTTATTACCATTCGAACGTCCAACCACATGCTATCAATAAGCTGTAAAGGTGGCCCCATAATAGGCACCAATATTTGCGACTTTGGTTGGAAAAAAAGAAAGTTAACTAATACACTTTGCTTCGCAAAAGTAAACACAGTTACTTGGTAAAAAACCACAAGCTAAAACATAAATACTCTATTGAAAATATTAAATTGTGGTGGAAAACAGAACTCGCAAGCAAAATTTTGATAAGTTTTGCGAATAACATCAGGTGACTAGTAACTAGAAAAATAAGCTTCTCAACAAACTTGCAAAATCAGCCACTCAGGCCACAAAAATCATATTTATCAAAATCTTATATTTAAAACTTCCAAAGGCTGCAAACTTTGTCGACAGAAAAAGAAGATCAAAACACGTCAATTGATGAAAAATTTGATCAAAATTGCGTATAGCGGTATAGCCATTTATTTTTCTGTGCAAGCTTTTTAACCTTGATTGCCCCCAATTATCGCGCGATACAAAACGATGCAACCATTGATACCTTTTCACAATCACGCAATTCAAGTGAAACTCAGCAAGAAAAAGTAATGACAAATCCGGAGAAAGATCTTTTACCAGAAAAAAAATGAAATTTTTTAGCGTGAGAGAAGCTGATATTACTCATATTGTAAGAGCGCATTATTTCATTCCCAACGAACGTATCTTACAACCTGATACCATCAATCTTTAGCCAAACTAGCGCCAGCATGGGGAAAAAGAAAAATGAAAAACAAACATTCTGTTTTCTGTCGAACAATTTATGATAGTACACTTTGTTAATGAAGAAAATTTAATAGTTTTTTGAAAGTTTGCAATCATTTAAATCTAAGGAACACTCGCGATACAACAGCATTGCAAGCTATCAGATAAACTTGAGAGAAGTCACTAAAAAAACGCGAAAAAAGTAAAAAAAACTATGTCTACAAAAATGTCAAAAACCTACCGGGAAAAACAATCATCAACCTCAAATTCGCATTCAAAACCCTTGACGCAGGCAAGTAAAATAATCATACAAAGGTACAGCCCATTGAGTCGAGAACAAAACTATTTTCATTACAAAGTGAGTTATAAAGTTTTGAAACTGGAAATTTTTACGCTTCATCTCTCCTGGAATACAACAAAGCAAAACATAAAATCTAACTTGGCTTTCAAACGACGCAATACAAGGTGACTAGGCCAAAATATTAATCTTCGAGGCCAATTAAACAAAAAAAAGGTAAAATGCAAAATAAAAGATAATTTTTTTAAAAAATCAGAGCATCGTAATTTATAAATTACTGGACGATTTCCAATTACAGCGACAATTAATTAAAGCAGAATAAAAGTCCATACTTCGGAAGTAAAATGGCAATTAATAAGCAGACAGATGACAGTCCGACAATTCGTTCTCCCAGAAAAAAATTTCAGTTTTCAAACACATTGAAGAAAAAGAAGGACCGACGGTGACTCAAACCACGGAACTTAGGATTCCTATGCACTAATTTTAACAATAGGCGAGGTTTCATAAAAACGCAAGGTCACTGTCCTACAAATTGGTAAGAAACGTTGCTTAATGGATAAAAAACTAGTTCCGATTTTTCGCTAGTGAAAATAGTATTAAGTTCTTTATAATGCTCGCTTCAATCAAGGACTTGAGATAAACTAAAACCAAAGATGAAAAATGCTGGCCAATTTCTCTAAGATAGTTCAAACCAAATGTTGAGCAAAAGCCGGCCGTATCCCACTCAGCCCCAAAATTTATTATATTCCAGTTATTTTTTTGCAAATTATAATTAAAAAATTTGGCAGTTACAAACCACCAGCAGAAAAAACCAGTGTGAAAAACTCTACTCCGCATAAAGACGGTCAACTAAAACATTCCGATTGAAGGTCTTTGACTTTGAAACATTATTTATGATGGCACTTCTTTCTTAAAACTACTATCACAGAGAAAAAAACTGGATGATAGATAACTTTTTAAAGTCTATTTTGAAATTAGAAGTCATTTTACGTTTTTGCTGATTTTTATTGAGCAGTTCCATAACTGAATCACCACCACAGTATACGTGACAACTACTTACTTTTAAATTTGTTTTAATTTGAAAACTCGCCAGATTTTAAAAATTGACTCTCTGTTTCTATCATAGTAATGTAATTTAAAAAGCAGTCAGCAAATAAGCGAAAATTTTCTGTTTTTTAAAAAAAAAGAATTTTTTATGTCTTGCCACGATCAATCAATCCTCTTTTACACTTTGAACTTATAATGGCTCATTTGACAAACTCAAAATTAGCCACTCGTTATATAACACAAAACAACTCGTGATATAAAACACACTAAGCTCTCCAAAAAAGAGAGGAGGTCCACTAAATGGCAAGCAAAGTTTGAAAATCCAAAACCAAAATCAACCAAAATTTGCCCACGTTTGTCTCTGCTCAGTCAAATGAAAACTTTTAAAGGAAGGTGTTCAGTAAACCGAAAAAATATCTTTTAAACTCCTAAATAACGTTTTTTATCCCTGAACTTAACAGAATCTATGCGCTACATTATTGCAGATTAAATTATACAGCTAAGAAATTGAAATACTGCAGAAAATAAGTGCGATAGCGATACTAACTCGGTCAATTTTGATTTAGTTTATAGGAGCATTAAACAACGCGTATTCTGCTCATTACCCCCAAAACTCATTTTAATTTTATTGCTAAATGACTCATTCACGATGTACCCAACTGTTCATTGACAATTAATTTGAAAAATCATGGGAATTGACGTATGTCAGATTAGGAAATCTCAACTCATGGGTCTTCCGTTTCAAGACGTCAATGATAATTTTTTTGCTACCTTGACAATGTAGGAGTGCAATTATCCTAATACTCATTATAAGACTTAGTCATATCCCTTCAATATAAACGGCTTTTGTACAACCCCTCCCTCAGATTTCAAAATTTCCGTTTTCTTAGTTGTCTGATGTATTATGGCTGAATCCGCGATAGAAAGTATAGAAAACAAGTATGTTCACAACAGTTAGTTTGTTCACCATGCAAATATTAATTGCATTATGACAACATAAAAATAGATTTTCAAAACTGAAAACCAAATGTGGGTAAAGTGGGAAAGGGCCTTATAAACTTACCCAAATTAGACTCGATCAGACCAGAAAACGACTGAAGATCTTCATCTAATTTCTTCAGTTCCTCACTTACCAAATTAGTCAGTTTACCATCCATTTCATCTGCAATACTCGCAACAACCATAAACAGTGCACTAATTCTGCCAATTTTGTAGAAACGTCATCTGATCTTGTTGAGCTCAGCTCCAGCTGTTTTCGAGTAGCATTCAAAATTCGGGAGAGAGAGAAATAGCGGCTCTATTCATTTAAAAGTATGAGAACTCTTTTCTTTTGATACTTTCCTAACCATTTTCAAAAAAATCCTAGTTTTTGGCTAGTATACCAAACTTTATATTCACCAATTAGCTTACTAAAAAGAAAACCTCAATAATATTAATAGCAAGCAGCAACAAGGATAGCCGGTTGCTGCGCAAGTAGCAGAATGTTCCGACCATTTTCATAAAAACAACAAAAATCTAAGTTCTTCAAATTATTAAGTTCTTCAAATAAGTGTCGTTTTTCGTACATGGTGTGATGAAAAAACTACCCAAACGCGGAAAAAAGTAATAAATTAGGCATAATCGACAACAGTTGCCTTCAAAAAAAGAACAACTACAAAAAATTTTTTGAACAATATTTAAATTATTTTTTCAAAAACATTCTTGCCAGGGAAGTGCCAAATACAGCTTTCAAAAAAACTTTCCGTTTTCCGTATAGAAAAATCAAGTTTTTTTCAGCCTAAACGACAAATTTAACAAGTTATCATCATTTTATTTTAATGTTATTAGAATTTTTTTGCCAAATCAGCGCTATCTAAAAAAAATTAAGTTTTTTATAGTAAAATCAAGCCGTTGATCCAGTCTAAAAAAGAAAGCTGTTGATAAAATCAAGTCTAAAAAAGAAAAAATTCCATATAACAAGCATTACTCGATCGCGTTACTCGTTCGAAATCAGACTAAATCTCAAAAATTCAAAACAGTTTTTCTCAACAGACAATTTTTTTAAAAATTATATTTTCGTTCGAATCGCGAGAGAAAGGGCTTCAATATGATATATCACTCGGCCTATTCCGATGATTTTTTGTGGCCACTGATTTTGCGTAGAAAAAAAACTAAAACACACACGAAGACAAAGTTTCTCCCCATTTTCAATGGTCGGAACAATAAGCGACTCTCTCTCAATTATTGACAAATTCCTTGTTAAAAAAGACAAGAGAAGTATATTTTTCCAGAAGAATGCTGTTCATTGTTTAAATGGTGAGAGCAGTCATAATTGAACAACTTCAAGTAGCGTAAAACTATTTACAATTTTACATTTTTTAATATTTACCAATTTACATTCCTGTGCATTAATTTGTACAAGTCTGTTAAAATAGATCAATAACTGCAAGTTGAAGAAAGCTAATGACTAAGTTGAACTAATTCCGAAGTGTTTATCAGTATTTTCCATCTGTGTATTATTTAAGATGTGATTATTGTGCTCAAATCTTTCAGTAGATGGAATGGATATGCTGATCCAAAATGAACTCTGCGTGATTCTGTTCTGTAAGTTTTAGTTCGTTGCCGCTCTGGATGTCTACAAGGTAGTCGAACAGCTCAGAGTTTAGACTCATCAAGTGGGTCAATAGTTTGAACGCTAGAGATGTCACTGTCGCACTCCAATGGGTTCGAGATGTCTGAAACGACGAGAAGGTTGAATTCTTTATTTGACTCCTTCAGATAAATTAACATTTACACATTGAAACATTTAAGTCAGCACGAAAAAAAAACATCAAAACAAACACCATCGCTATTTCTTAACTTTATATCTATATATGAAAGTTTAAAAACTTTTTCAAGTCTCGCATTTTTCAGCCAGAAAATGATATGAGAACCTCACTAAGAAGCTCAATTGTTCCAAATTATTGACAAAATTAAAAAAAAAAAAGCAGCAAAAAATATAACCAATCCTAACAGGTCCAGGCATTAAATAGCATTGATCTGCTGAACATCTGAAATATTACACTTAAATCGATAAATGGCCATAGTCTTTGATCGTATACTTGTAAAATGTAAGGTATTAATTTTGATTTGTTTCATGCCTTTTCAAAGGAAACGAAGTCTTAGTAATAGTAGTAGTTGTAGTATACCAATTCCAAATTGATTTTTTTTGGTCAGTTTCCAGAGTATTTGGGAAATATTGATATTCACATGGTACAGTGCGGGAAATAGAAGAGGAATGATTCTGAGCGCGTGAGGTTTTAGGAAATCGAAGAACAGTTGTCCATTGGCAAATGTGAGAGCCCGCTCAGCCACCAGGGAATGATCGCTCTGGATACATGAGGCCACTTTCCTCGCCAGAAGACACAGCCAGGCCTGCAATTATAAAGCAGAGAAATAATCGCACTTAGTTGGTCAGCAAGCATTTCACAGCTCAAAAAAATTAACACTTAAACGAAACTCGTAAGCAAATAGAGGGCAAAATTTAGCCTTTAAAACTAAAAAAAGAACAATTTTTTCGATAAAATTTTTTCGTTTCAGTATACCACCTTAAAGCAATTTGACTTACAAAAAAAAATTAATGCTTAGTAGTTGACACTATTTGCATAAAGCTGTCTCAGTTTGATCAAATTGATATGTATTTCTGAAAATGAATATTTTAATTCCACCGGGAAACCTCCACAATTAAACATGAAGCTACAAATCCATGACATTTTTGGCGCTTTTAATATTGAAAAACGAAATGTTCCTTCCGTTATGCAATAAATCTGAAGCGAACATAAAAAAACTCAATTTTTAAGAAAAAGTTAAGCAAAAAATTGTGAACAAATAAACAATAACATTTCAGGTTTTAGATCGAACATATTTTTCAGCAACAAAAAATAATCTTTCCTCAAAAATTACCCAAATTGTAGAAATAGTTGTGCCATTTATACACCCAGAGACAAAGCAAGAGTCTCGTATAACTTGAAATACGGTATTAACTTTAATTCTTTAACACTAGCGAGAACACGAAAAAAAGCAGCTCTAGAAAGAGCAATAAGAAAATAGAAATAAGCCTCGCATTACTGAAAATGCGGCTAGGTCTAGGATTCGATCTCACGCACTAACCACTCAGCCACGCACGCTTAACCACCAACAAACACTAGTCACAAAAAAGCAGCTACACACATAAATAAATTGCCTTTCAGCAAAAGTGACACCAAATACAAATAGACACAATTTTGCAAGTAAAAACTTGGAAAATAATAAACTCAAGGCATCCACATTAACAAATCGGAAAGCATAAAGCCACATTAATTATAAATTATGTAATTTAACAAATGCGAGATATATTGACTTAGAAAATTTCTGAAACTGAGTTTTTATGATTGTTGTTGTTTGAAACAATTAGCTTTTTCGGTTCATTTGATGAAATAAAAATGCATCAACTGTGTTAACTTAATACAATTCGAATGCCAAAGCACCTATCAAAAAGCTGTACAGGTGCCCCAAAAGTGGCAAAAATATTTGCGAATTAGGCTAGAAAAGAGAAAGTTCTTAAGGATACACTAACCTGACGCTAATGTAATAATCAATATTGAAGAAAAATCTTCAAAGCGTCATCTGAGCCGACAAAAATCGGGTTGACACTCGTTAAGCCTATAAATGAAACGGCCATTAAAAATTTTGGGCAATTTTTTTTCCAACTTACTCTTTAAGTTGCCTTTCGAGCACACAAACAAAAAATATTCTACAAAGAATGCAATTCCAGGTGACTACGCCGATTAAAAAACAAAGAAAAATTAATAATTTTACGTCCACCGATCTGCGTCATTTGCTCATGAGTTTAACAAAACATTAGCCACCAAAAAAGGGGAATAAACCCATACTATTACATTGCCATCGCTATACAGCAAAGTGCCACCAACTGAGCTTTTTATTTGCGAACTGAATCGGGAAAAGAATTAGAACTCATAATCTAAGACACTTGATAGCTCGCATGTGTAATCGTGGCTATAGTAATCATTATCTCTTAGAAACATAAGACAGATGGAGTCAAGAGATAACACAATTTGGCTGGAGTATGAATCAACAAAATTATGTTGTTACTGTTTTTTTGCATGTGTTTGCAAAATCCAGCTTCGCTTGTCTGTAGTTTTTTTAACTTCGATTTTTTTAAAACAATATGGGCTGCATGTGTCACTGTGATAGGATATCTTTAGACAGATTGTTTCGATTTGATCAGATTGATTTTGTTGATTCATTCTCCAGCCAAACAATCTGTCTAAAATTATCCTATCACAGTCACACCTGCAGCCTATATTGTTTCAAGAAAAAATTGAAAAAAAAAAATACAGACAAGCGAAACTGGACAAACAAACTCATGCAAAAAAACAATATTAACATAACTTTCAGATAAATTAAATTAGTACGTTCATCTTCGGTTCGTTCATATTTTGTCTGTGCTTTTTGAGTACTCCAAACTAACTCACTTGGTTTTCCTTGTCATAATTGTGTACCTTCTCCAAAATACTCTCCACTTCATTGATGAATTTGATACTCTTGGCGGTTTGAATTCTGGGCCACAGAGGCAAAAGTCTGTTCATCATTTCGTCTACCAGCGATTCGTCTCTCTCCAGGAACTGAGTCATGCAGAGGGTGAGACTCTCGTGGTAGAGTGGCAGACTCCGTGGTCTGTGCAGAGGAATCAGCACCTTAAAAAAAACATTTTGAGATTCAATTGGCTTACACCTTCCTTTGAATTTGAGAGTGCCGAGTTGCTATTTTTCATTTGGCCTCGTTGTCGCAAACAGTTCCACTCAGTGGTCCAAATTTGTGAGATTGCAATCTCACAAAAGATGTTTTTAGACCCAAAAACAAATGTTTTCACGGAGTGGGGAGGAGAGGTCTTTTTTGTTCTGGACAAATTCAAGTATCACAGGCATTCGATAATTCAGCACCAGAAATCAAGCCAAAATCATTCCCACGATTGCACACATAAAAAATCCCGGGTTTTCCAAAACTTTATAATTCTCGACAGATAGTCTATAATATCCATTTGGCGACATATTTCGAAAAGAATGAAATAATTATTACGTGATGTAAAAATTGCTGGTGTTCCTGCTTGATTGGAACTGCGAAGCCACAGATCACACTACTCATCATATCCAATAATTCTGCAACACCATTGGGCGATCTGTTTCCCTCTACAAACATCAGAAATACATGAGCAATCTGTTTTCTTATACATGCTCTGAGATAGATCATCTTCAGGTATATGTTATAAATCACAGACTGCAACAGTTCGCGTTCTCGACTGTCGTACGACTCAAATAACTGCAGTAATTTGAAAACGAACTCTTCGTTTAGGTACTCGCTGGCCAGTTCTGGATCGAATTTTGGACTTTGAATAACAGTGAGGAATATGGCATAGACTAGCTGTAAATGAGGCCACGCCACATCTTTTATCGGGTCATCCTCTTCAACCTCAACTAGAATCAACTCTAGTGGGCAAACTTCTTTCACCGGTGGCAAATCACGGAACAAATTAACAGCAAAAAACTGAAATAAATCCTCGTATATTTCCGAATGGTCTAGACTGTCAAAATGCCAACTGAGAAAGTCACAAATATCATTCAGAGCAACTCGTTTCACTTCTTTGCTTTTGGTATCCTTATTCACCTCGTTGAAGTTACACACTCTGAAACATTGTTTCAATTTTGCACTTAACGCAGCTTCTCTCATGTCGGAAGTTTCGAACAGCAACGGCGGCAGATGTTCTACATCTTCATTAGACACTTCAACACCACTTGAATCACACTCACTTTTTCTATTCGTTGAATATGCTGATCCCTGTCGTCTCGGCTTTTTGTGAAATGCCGTTGAGCTTTTTCGAGTAAGCTTATTGTGGCCGCTCCATGATTTTTCAGTCCTCGCGGATATCAGGGATATTTCATGGAGGTCTGTTCGAAACTCGCCAATGAACGTTGATTCCATGTTATATGACTAATTCAAAGTGCCGTGAGAACATTAAAACCCTTCACCACATTTGATCTTTAAGGATATACGTACAAGTTCCATACCAAGACTGAAAAAATCAGCTTAACTAGCGTTTAACGCACCTTCGGTTCTTCGAAATTTTTCCACAACTCATGAAAAACCGCATATATTGAAACAGCATCAGCAAATTTTTAGTTTACTCTGACGACACCCAATTACAGGGTTGGGAATTTCAGATTTTTAGAAAATAATAAAAAATAAAGTTGTCTGAAAAATTTGGAAAAATCACAAAAAACGTCATATCTCGAAAACTACAGGGATTTGAACAGTCATATTTGGAGACAAGATTTGTAACTCCTTAGAGTACTCTGACAGCACGCAACTACAAGGTTGGGAATTTTAAGTTTTGAGAAATGATTAATTTAAATTTTCTGAAAATTTTTGAAAAAATTACAAAAAACATCATATCTCGAAAACTACAAGGATTTGAGCAGTCATATTTGGAGGCAAGATTCGCGATCCTTGATAGTACTCTGAGACAGTACCCAACTACAGAGTTGGGAATTTCAGACTTCTAAAAAATAATAAAAATTTAAGTTTTCTGAAAAATTTGGAAAAAATCACTAAAAACGTCATATCTCGAAAACTACAAGGATTTGAACAGTCATATTCGTAGGCAAGATTTGTAACTCCTTAGAGTAATCTGACAGCACCCAACTACAGGGTTGGGAACTTCAAATTTTGTAAATTATTTTGTTATTTGAAATTTCTGAAAATTTTTGAAAAAATCTCAAAAATCTTCTTATCTCGTTACTAAAATGATTCGGTCATTCAAAATTGGAGGCCAAATTTGCAACCCCTAATTCGATATTGGGCTGCTTAATTTAAACTCGGTAAAATAACCACCAATAACCACTTCTGAAAAAATCTCAAAAATCGTCTTATCTCGTTAACTAAAATGATTCGGGCATTCAATTTTGGAGGCCAAATTTGCAACCCCTATTTCGATATTGGGCTGCTTAATTTGAACTCGGTAAAACAACCACTAAAATCAAATTGGAAAATCGAAAAAACTCTTAACCATTGCAATATAGGATATAGCTTAAACATGCAAAAATATTACGTTGAAAAAGCTTAAACATGGCGAGATAGTGAAGCCCGCATTTAAATATATAATAGATAGAAGAAAACCATGAATGATCTGGATGAAGCAATACAACAAGTTTCGAAAATCATCAACAACAAACACATAGACTAAGCAGAGCTTCACGCCAATAGCAAAACAAGGCAAAAACTTTGATGAGAAACGGCATAAACCAATTACAGTTGTTAGCAATCGAAAACAAAGGCGTTGAGGAGTTCCAAACATTATAGTTTTGACATATTTGTATTTTCTAAAACAATTTATTGTGTTGGCAAAATTGTTGAAGCAACTTAGTAAGCTGCCGTTGTATTCTGCGCGTTAAAAAATTCAGTCAACGAAAACTCGGCTTTTTTGATATTCAGACAAATTGAGAGACCAATCGGCCTAAGACAATTCCAAAAACTCGTCTAAATTTTTCTTTGAGGTCTACAACAATGAATGGCTGTTCATTTTGAATTCAAGTTTTCATTTCAACTTGGCGAAATAAACGTCTAAATTTTTCTTTGAGGTCTACAACAATGAATGGCTGTTCATTTTGAATTCAAGTTTTCATTTCAACTTGGCGAAATAAATAAAGTTTGTTGTAGATTTTTTGAGCATAATCATTCATTTTTGCTATTAAATGTCCTGTTGGCAGCAAAATTCAAGGATTTGGCGTTAAAATGAGTCAAATTTAAAAATGAAAAAACCCAAATTTATCAAAATATTTTTTTAAAAAAAAGAATGGAGTCTACTTAAAAAAACCTCAGTTCTTCATCACACTATATTTAGAAATACAACGACAATCTTGGAAACATTTCTTAACTTTTACACAGAGGCGAAGCTGTGCTTCGCAAAACTTTTGAGAACACGATCAAAAAGCACCCCTATCAAGTTAAATAAGAAAAAGTAGAAATAAGCCTCGAAATAGCAAAAACTCGGCTTCGTGTAGGATTCGAATCTGCGACCTAGCAAATATAAGCACTAACCACGGATGCTTAAAATCCGCAAAAACTAGCCACCAATAACTCAGCTACATATGCTAATAAATTGCCAATTCGAAAGCAGCAAAAGTCTCAAGCAATATCCCATCAGCCACTCAAGCTTAACAACCGATAAACACTAGTCACGAACAAAGCAGCAACATATGCTAACAAATTTCCAATGCGATTCAGCACCAAATAGGTATTGCGAATGCGATTCAGCACTAAATTGAATGCATCCACACTAACTTTGCATGTATCAGATCGCAAAGCATGAAGTCACGTTATGTAGAAATTAGGCATTTCAAAAAATTGCGAAAACTTTGAGTTAGAAAATTATTGGGGTGCAGCAAAATAAAAAAAGCCGCACCAATATTTGCGACTTAGGTTGGAAAAAAGAAGGTTCGAACCAATACACTAGCTTCGCAAGTGTAAACAAGCAAACAGAGGCCATATCACATGACTTGTCTTCTAGGGCATTTGGCTTAAAAAAACTAGGTTCTCTAAAGAGCATTTGGCTAAAAAAAAAATACTACCGAACCTTGAGAAAAGCTGTCAACAACGGTAACGCTCTCCAGCAGATTGCTTTCAGAGCTCAAAAACACTCGCTTATCTACAAAACACCAGAAAAATTGGGTTATTCTTCATTTATTCGGTGTAGTGATACGTAATGCGACAACTCGCAACAGAAGACAACTCGCATGAAAAGACAACTCGCAATAAAAGACAACTCGCAATAAAAAACAACTCGCATTATGCATTATATGACAACTTGCAATATAAAACGTGTTGCCAGCTTGCCAACAGATAGTAGGACTTTATACAAAAGTTAAAGCCGGGTATCTTCACGAAGCGGCGACGCGCGCCCACCGGCGACCTTAATCCGAAATTCCTAGATTATAAATTAATTTTCGAATTTAGCGTAGTTGTGGCTTTCCTCAAATTTTGCGAGTTGTCTTTTGTTACGAGTTATCTTTTGTTGCGGGTTGTCGCGGTACCGCAGTGATAGATCGAGACAGCAAACTTTGGAAACAATACCAAAATTGAAAACCTTGATAACATCGACAAAATTTCAGAGACAATCAAATTAACACAGGGTTGAGACAAGTTCTTACACTGTGAATTAGTTAAATGGGACAGCTCAATTTTGGATAGTACGACTTAACCTTTCGATTTATGACTCAATGGGACATGTCATTGTGACGGAACTCTTCAGCAGCACATGATGTAACCTATCAATTTTACGCAAATAATGGTGTAAATGAAAACACGGTTAGACCACCAGTTTGTCTGGTAAGCCTCAAGGCACATATGAAAATTTTTTTACTGTTAAAGAATTAACTCTACTTCTATCTGTTTCCTGCTGACCTCAACCTGCCCTACTGCGTTAGTTGTGCGCGAATCGCCACTACTCAGCACAAGAGTAATTGAAAAACAAATTGAAACACAGAAGCGAAGCTGAGATTCACGGCAAATGCGAAACGAAAATGAATGATTACGCTCAAAAAATATAGAACCAACTTTATCTATTTCGCCTGGAAATGAAAACTTGAAAAGAAAACTTGAAAGCAAAATGATTACCCATTTATTGTTGTAGACAGGGGCGGATCTAGGATTTTAGGATTTTAGGATTTTCTCGAGGGGGGGGGGTCGAATTTTCAAAATCTTTGTCGACCTTTTTTTTTAAGGTCGACCAAATTAATTTTTTGAGCTTGCCCAAAGCACCACTAAAAATTCCCTGTTTTGGCCTAATTTTCTGCGCGTTTTTAAGTACTTTTTTGAAAATTTTGACCAAAACAATCGCATTTTTTCGGCGCGCGCTTCCCCCTCAAAATAAGTATATATTAGCGCCGAAGGCGCCCTTAGAAAAATTTTAGGGTCCGTCACCAAAAATGGATATCTCAAAATAGTACAAAGGGGGGACTCTTTGGGTCGGCAGGGGGTCGAATCCCTGAGGGGGAGGGGGGGGGGGGGGTCGTCCGCCTACTCCCCCCATAAATCCGACCCTAGTTGTAGACACCAAAGCAAAATCGTCATGAAATCAACAAAACAAAAACTTTTAAAAATCGCAATAACAAGAGATCATTCTTTTCGATGATAATGAAAACTGCGCTTGGCTATTTCGAAACAAAATTTCAGTGACGTTTATTGGTAGCTTGAAGTATGAGCGCGAATGAATGGTAGCAAATATCAAAGAACTTCGTCCGAAATAACTGTTAACGTCAAAATCAGCTTAACGTCAAAATCAGCTAATCGTTTTTTGGGTCAAAAAATTTTAATAGCTGGAAAAGGGCGCAAAATTCTTGGAACAAAATGTTATGAAGAAACGACTTGTTATCTAAAATAGTCGAAAAATTTCAGTGTCCACAAAAAAACAAGTCCCGACTGGAACCGAACTTCCGGGATTGTGATTTGTCTTCAAGCATGGGTGTTACCAGGCGCGGATCTAGGAATTTCTCGAGGGAAGGGGGGGCGGTATTTTCAAAAAAATTTTGAAATTTTTGTCGACTTTTTTTTAGGTCGACCAAATAGATTTTCTGAGCTCTCCCAAACCACTATAAAGACCCTAATTTGACCAAATTTTCTTCGCCGCAGGCAAATTCTTGAAAAAAGTCAAAAAGAATTGGAAAATTCGACCGCAAAATCGCGATTATTTGTCGCGCGCTCCCCCCCTAGTATAGATTGATTCCAAAGGCGCCTTTAGGAAAAATTTTGAGATCAAAAATGGATATCTCAAAATAGTACAAAAGGGGGACCCTTTGGGTTGGCAGGGGGTCGAATCCCCTCAGAACTCACCTTGAATTAATAAAAAAAACTTGCATAAGCACAAAAAAAAACAAAAAAATCAGCAAAACTTCTTGGAAAACAATCATTTGCCCAAAACAAGGAGAAAAATTGTCAAACTTGAATCTATTTCAATTTAAAATACTTAAGAAACTTATAGAAAAAGCATAAGTTAAATAAGCCGACAGAATTAGGGCCGATAGCCAACAA